AAAACTAAAAACATTAATATAGGATTGCTGCTAGGTGTATAATCATGACCATATTTCTGTTCTTCTTCAGGATATGACACCTTTCACACATGGAGCTGCAGACAGAGTTCGTCAGTTTGGAGATCATATAGGTGTAACTGACCGATACACAGGATACAGAAACAACCTCACTCGGGGTACCAGAGACCCTTTCAAGCTTGGAACCAGCTGGATGGACAAAAGCATTCAGGGGGGACAACTAAGAAGCAGTTTTGCTAGATCCAACAGTATGTTGTTACATTTTAAACTGTTGATACAGTATTAAACAAATATAATTTACTAAGTAAATGCAAATTCAAATTTTCTGAAGAAATTTGTATTTAATTGTTAATTCATATATCAAGTGTTAATACATTTTTCTGTTTGGTTATAGCTGCATAACACCCCATGGATAAAAACTGACATTTATATTATGAGAAATATTTTGTGTTTTGTTGAAATTAAAGAGTTAAAGTTAGCAATAATTGTTAGATTGAAGAAGTATCATAAGTCTCATGTTGAAGATGTACTAAAATCGTTTTGTTTTCATTGTTATCATCAGCATTTGCTGCCCCCTCCATGGCTGAAGCTAGAACTATGGCAGCCCCCGGCAGTGCCAAAGTTAGATTCGGAACAACTCAACCAGGCAAAGTTGATGTCAGAGGTACTGTTGTAGGACTAATTATTGTAAAATATAAATTCCTTTGTGTTCTGTAAAGAAAATAATTTAAACAAGATATGTTTGTAAAACATGTATGCCCCCTATCAGCAGCCAATTATTCATGTGATAAGGTAATTATGCATGACTTCTGACCCAGTGATCAAACAATTAATAAGGGTTATCAAGTATCTACTGGTCATTACCTTGACCTTTGACCCCTTGACCCAAAACTCAATAGGGGTCATCTGCTGGTCAAGACCAATCATCATACAAAGTCTGAAGTTCCTAGGCCTTAGCGTTTTTAGTTAATTGATCAGAAACCGTTTTTACTTACAAGGTCAATGTGACCTTGACCTTTGACCCCTTGACCCCAAAATCAATAGGGGTCATTTGCTGGTCATGACTAATCACCATGCCAAGTTTGAAGTTCCTAGGCCTAAGGGTTCTTTTATTATTGATCCGAAACCGTTTTAACATACAAGGTCAATGTGACCTTGACCTTTGACCCCAAAATCAATAGGGGTCATCTGCTGATCATGACCAATCACTATGCCAAGTTTGAAGTTCCTAGGCCGAAGCGTTCTTTAGTTATTGATCAGAAACCGTTTTTACTTACAAGGTCAATGTGACCTTGACCTTTGACCCCTTGATCCCAAAATCAAAAGGGGTAATCTACTGGTCATGAAAAATCACCATACCAAGTTTGAAGTTCCTAGGCCTAAGCGTTGTTAAGTTATTGATCAGAAACCGTTTTTACTTACAAGGTCGATGTGACCTTGACCTTTGACCCCTTGACCCAAAACTCATTAGGGGTCATCTGCTGGTCACCACCAATCATCATACAAAGTTTGAAGTTCCTAGGCCTAAGCGTTTTTAGTTAATTGATCGGAAATCGTTTTTACTTACAAGGTCAATGTTACATGACCTTTGACCCCTTGACCCTAAAAACAATAGGTCATCTGCTGGTCATGACCAATCACCATACCAAGTTTGAAGTTCCTAGGCCTAAGGGTTCTTAAGTTATTGATCGGAAAGCATTTTTACCTACAAGGTCAATGTGACCTTGCCCTTTGACCCCTTAACCCCAAAATCAGTAGGGGTCATCTGCTGGTCATGACCAATCACCATACCAAGCTTGAAGTTCCTAGGCCTAAGGGTTCTTTAGTTATTGATCGGAAACTGCTTTTACCTAAAAGGTCAATGTGACCTTGACCTTTGACCCCTTGACCCCAAAATCAATAGGGGTCATCTACTGATCATGACCAATCACCATACAAAGTTTGAAGTTCCTAGGCCTAAGGGTTCTTTAGTTATTGATCGGAAACTGTTTTTACCTAAGAGGTCAATGTGACCTTGACCTTTGACCCCTTGACCCCAAATCAATAGGGGTCATCTACTGATCATGACCAATCACCATATCAAGTTTGAAGTCCCTAGGCCTAAGGGTTCTTTCGTTATTGATCGGAAACCGTTTTTACCTACAAGGTCAATGTGACCTTGACCTTTGGCCACTTAACCCCAAAATCAATAGGGGTCATCTACTGGTCATAACCAATCACCATACCAAGTTTGAAGTTCCTAGGCCTAAGGGTTCTTTTGTTATTGATCGGAAACCGTTTTTTACCCAAGAGGTCAATGTGACCTTGATCTTTGACCCCTTGACCCATAAATCAATAGGGGTCATCTACTGATCATGACCAATCACCATACCAAGTTTGAAGTTCCTAGGCCTTAAGGTTCTTTACTTATTGATCGGAAACCGTTTTTGCTTACAAGGTCAATGTGACCTTGACCTTTGACCCCAAAATCAATAGGGGTCATCTACTGGTCATGACCAATCACCATACCAAGTTTGAAGTTCCTAGGCCTAAGGGTTCTTTAGTTATCACTCGGAAACCATTTGGTCTACGGACCGACGGACCGACAAGTGCAAAGCAATATACCCCCTTTTCTTCGAAATTGGGGCATAATAATACATTGCTAAAGTTATAGTAAATGTGACAAATGGCATGAAAAAATTACTTGAAGTTGTAGTTAATTTGGCAAATGGCTAAAACATACCTTACTAAGACTGTTTTAATGTAACACATGGCTTGGAAAAAAATCACACCTTGCTTAGATTTTTTTTATAAATATGGCAAATTGCTTTAAAAACATTTTGATGAAGTTGTGAAAAATGTGACAGACTAATGGCTTAAAAATACCTTGCTAAAGATGTACTAAATTTGACATTTGGCTAAAATTTGGCTTGAAAATTACTTATGATAAATTAGGCACATATTTTGAAAAATACTTTGCTAAAGTTGTAGTTACTTTGACACATGTGCTATTTAAGTTGTATTAAATGTGGCACATGGCTTGACTTAAAAAAAACCTTGCTAGTTAAGGTTATTATGACATACTGCATGATAAAGCCTTGCTTAGTTACCATATTTTATTATTGTAACACATGTCTTAACTATGAACAAGTGTAATGTTTTTTATTTGCAGGTTATCAGACAGTTGACAGTCTATACCCTCGTAGTAATACAATGTTTGTTGATGATGCAGCTAGTCGTAGCCAGGCGCTGGCAAACCTTAAAGCAGCTAATGCTCTAAACGCCAGCACGTCAAATTCTCAAGCATTCACTGCCATGCCTCGCGGTCACAAAAACCTGTCCGTACAGGAACAAGCTGGAATTAACACAACATACCCAGGTAGGACGGAATATATGACCAGGTACAAGAAGCCACCACAAGATGTAAAGACCAGCGACTTTATTGTTAATCCAACACCAAACTTCATGCTGCATGGACGCCCACTAGGACTAACAACATATTCTCCCAGCTTTACTGAATACCAAACAAGATATGAATGGCCAGACGGCAATAAAATAGTAAAATTACCATGGAGAAGAAACTAAAATGACAAGTTATAATTTAAGAGTATTGCTTTCTGCCAAAGACTGTCATATTTTGAAATGCAATAGAACAATATGGAAAAAATTATTACCTTTTTACTGATATTGATTGTTAATCTTTTTTTCTTAAATTATATATTTTTTTCAACTGAAATTTCTCTATTATATAGGGTACTTTTTTGTGAAAATTTTCTATTTTATAACATGTTTTTAGTAAAGTTCACAGTACCAATTTTAAAAAGAAAATGACTTATTTGCTTTATAAATCAATATGATGTATTGGACCAGTTTGTTAATTAAACATTAATATTTAAAATTGTAGGTCTTTAAAAAGATCTATCACAAATCCTTTATCTACATAGAACATATAATAAATATTTGTCAGCTTAGCAAATCTTTATGTTTTTAAATCAGAATTATTTTTATCTGCTCAAGCAGACATGTTTTTATCAGTCAGTATTAATAGATTATATTTTACTGTTGTTATACCAGTTTACTGTGATATATATATATTTACATGCATAATATACAGAATAAAGTTGCAAAATACCTAATGTCTAAGTATTATATAGATATATAAAAAATTTTATATTCTTTTCTAAATTTCCTTCTGATGGTTTTAAGATTTGAATATTTCACTTTCGTTAATCTTAAGACTTTAATTGTGTAGGGATTTTTAGATAAATTTATTTATACACTCATTCCTTTGATAATTGTCAACAAAGGGACATAACAATGACATATTCAGTTGTCTTTTTTAAATGATTGATGATTGTTATGAATAAACATTCTAGATTTTCAGCACAACTTCTTTAAAACATCCTAATTTTTCATTTATTTAATACATCTTTCATGTGTATTGTTTTCATTGACTTGTTTCTAATATATTACACAGATCAGGGTTAATTGCTTTATACAGTAGATATTAGTTATAATGTCATTCTACATTTCAAATTAACACATTTTTCCTGGAGAGATGCATGACATTTGTCTGTCTTGTAAACAATGCCTATTTTCTGGACTATGTATTACCGAAAGCATTTGTTTTGTATGTGAATTTGTTGTTTTATATGTAATATTTTTGAAGAGAATTTATTTGTTGAAGTTTTTTTGTATGTAAATATATGAGAAAATCATCTAAGCATGTCATTATAACATATGACATTGAATAGATTGATATTTGCTTTAAGGTTTTTTATTGTAATGCTTTACTTCTTTACCATAAAAAGAATTGTTTTGACATGGAATAACTTCTAAAAGTCTTATCAGAATACATGAATACATGTATACATTTTATTTAAATCAATAGTCTTACAATTTTGTGGGACATTTTCTTGCTATATATATTTTTCTTATTCTTAAAACAGTATCAATGTATTCAATGTTACAATCTGTAAATGCTGTTTTAGTGAACTTAATAATAATCTTGCACTTTTGTGTGAAATTTGCACCCTACATCTATACCTTTGTTACAATTTTGTAGATCAGTTTAATGTTAAGAAATATTTCTGGAAAAAAAATATGATCAAAGTAAATAGAGTTGTTATTTAGTTAAATTCCTATTACATGTATTGTTTCACAGGTAGACCAAAGTCTGCCATCTTTAACCAAATGCTGCTCAATGTGGCGGGCCTGTAGACTAAGAGGAAAATTAAATTGTGCAACAACTGGCTTATGTCTGAAATTATTGTTTTAACTAGTAAAATTGGAAAGTCGCTAAATTATCTAATGAGCATTTGCAAAGAAACTGATATTCTTGTTTGTTGATGTAAGCACCATTACTGTTACATCAGTAACATATGGTCAACTTTACCATACAAATATTTCAATAATAATAACTATCAAATATTAGATTTTCCCAATTAAGTTTGAGTACATAATACGTCACACTTTGCATTTCAGAGATTATAAACATGTAAATCTTGTGACTGACATCCGTCGTGCGTATCACAAACTTTGTAATGTTCTAAAGTCAACTATTACCTTTTACTCAGTTAAATGGTTTCGAGACAAAAGACAGTCGAAGAAATAGAAAATAACCAGAAAGTATCTGACTTTGCTTTTATCCTTATATGACTTGTATTTTATTGTAAATGAAAACCATATTACCAACTTCAAAATATGGTCTCTAAAGCTACCAGAATTGATTGCAGGTTGACTATTGACCAAAGTTTCAACCTCAGATGTTCTTATCAAACTTTTAACAAGAAATTGTCACCCTAACAAAGTCAATAAACATGGTTTTCCTTTAATTTTCTTTATTTCACTCATTTTCTTAAAATCAACAACAAGCAATGAATTAATCTCTATAATAGCTATCCTTTGCTAATAGTACTGTCAACTTTTTTAAAGCCAGTTTTTTTCAAAGTAAATAAAAAGGAAAAATTCAACTTCTTATTTTATAATTTATTTTCACTTGGAAAAATATTCATGACCATCAAATTAAAAACAATATGTGTACATAAAAAATAAAATAATGAAGACTTGATTAACAATTAGTCTTTGTCCAACCCTGAATCTTTACAATCAAATAGTCTTATTTACAAAAATTCGGAAAATATGAATTTGTGTAATATTCAACACATTTTAAACATCATTTTATGTTTATATATAAAGGAAATTTGTACAGCTTGCCCCAACAGCAAAATGCCCTTATATCCTGATAAAGTATATAATTTGATAATGTAAAATCTAAAACTGATGACAAACTCACTCTGAACTGAAAGATTTACTTTCTCAAATGACACAGTTTATTTATGTTTCTCTTGTACCAACATACTAATTCCAATTAGCTCCAAGCCTTTGTAATAGTTGAGTTAAAGAAACTAACTTGATTCTGATTGCCTCTATACAAGTGCCAAAAGCCTACAATTATATCTAACAAAAGAGCAAATAAGACAATTATAATGGCCCTGTAAATAGCTGACCTCAATGAAGAATGCAACTAGTATTGTGCATGAAAACCTCCGCTAAAGTAACTGAATTTTCCTGTGTTGAATGATGGCTCAAGAGTTACTTAAAACATTATATAACTCCAGTGCGAGAGAATTTGACAATTTTTGTTTCTTTATTTTAACATGTCTCTTGACCTCTTTTATATTTATGTTTATGTTTGTTGTTTGTTGAGTAGACCTCGTATCCATTTATTCCTCGTGAAAACAAACCATATATCTTCCTGCCCTCCCTCTATAACTCTATGTTTTTTTATTTGCAAATAATCACACATGCCTTAATTATTAACCTATAGCATAAACCACCTGTATCTTGTGTCAAACCTGTCCCTTGATATATACAAAGAGCTGCCTCAGAAGCTATCTATTCACTCTCTCCCAAAAGTTTTCCAGCGATTTAATTATATGAGTCTAGAACACATAAATTTAATGCTCGATCGCCCTTAAACCAAATAAGGAAACTTTTATGTTAAACTTACATTGTAAATAATAAAAATTTATAAATACTCAGGCAAATTTCAGTTCAGTCTATTATATTATGCATTACATACAATTTATCCCTTCTCTCAGTAAGTGTTGGCTCTGACTCGTTTTGATGCAACTAGTAAATATTATTGACCACTGAGCTTATTTACAATCACTAGAATATACAGTATGAATAATTAGTGAGAGAGAAGTGCGTAAAACGTTAGCTGACGATATTTGTTTTTCAACGGACATCGTATAATAAGGCAAAATTTGTTTAATGCCTAGTGCACAACGAGTTATGTACTCACAAAAATCTTATTAGAAAAAAGACAATACAAATAAATATATTTTTCTGAACAGCAAAAAAGTAACAAAGCTATTCAGTCAACCCTTACTCCTATCTATGCTTATGAGTGTGTATGATATGTTATGGTTTTCTCTATTACTACCAAGTGTACCATTATACTATGAACAGAGAATATCTGCGTGTGAAAAATGAACGTCGTATTAGAGAAAAGTAATTAAAAACAACGTTAAAGTTTTGTAATTTGTGATAACGATGTATGCTTTAATCTATATTTTACTATTAGACATAACACATGTTAATTTTCTAATGATTAAGACATATGTATTTAAAAGGCTCGGCGATGTAAAATTCCACTTGCATATGGGTATAATTTATTCCATAGTCATATATCAATTATCATATATATTTTATTATCAAGAAGTTATTTTTAATAATATTCTACTTGAGTGTGATGTCCAATTGAATAAGGAGAGTTACTCACTTACTCTATTTTAAACATGAAAATTATATAAAATATACATAAAGATTAGAACAAATAATGAAAAATATGACCATATTTTAGTTCATCAATATGAGCCACAATTCTCACGTATCATGTAGTAGAGAAATAAAAGAGGTAGTTACCTTGCCAAACAACATTAGTTCTAGAAAAAATGCGAAGTGTTGTACTGCAGTTGTTGATAACAATGATTTGAGATTTGATAACTGCTTAGGTTAATAAAATATTAAAATTTTCTATATATCTTAGCTTGTCAATACATTACACGAGAATATGATCGTATTCTAAATGTGCCTGAATAATAACACAAAACATTCAAAAAGTCCTGTCCTCTAATGAATTGTCGCAAATAAATGATCCACATTAGAATGATACAATCAAACACCTAAGCATCGCGTAGCTATATTAGATAGGGCCCATAATATATTTATAAATTCTGAATATTGAATGAGCTATTTATTAAAGATAATGGTAACTCAAAAAAATAGCCGAAAAACCTAATTCATTGTATCCTATTTTGCAGTAATTCATATCTATTGAGCATATATAAAACTGAGATTGCACTTATACAAAGACAAGAAATAAATTCTCTCCATAAGAGAAGTATTTATTGTGTTCACAATACTTGAATAGATTTAAATGGATTGTACATACTTTGTTTGCTTAGACTAACAAAGCTATATACGTTGGTTTGATATTGATGAAACTCACAGCTAGAAATATATGCATATAGAGATTGGGATGGAGTGAGTATATAAAGACGAACCCATCTTCATTCATACTCAAATAGTAACTACTACTACTATACTATGATGGTGGTTCAATTATTAATTAGCTCCACAACGTGTGAATTATGGCTTATATTCTCAAAAACTGTGGATATAATGATTAATTTTATAAGTAGTTATTATTGATACAAAACTGACTATATGTGTGACTTTGTATTATCAAATTCTGCGAGATTGCTCTACATCAAAAGCATTTCGAAGTAAATTTTTGTCTAAAAGTTAAAGTTTTCGTTAAACAAAAATTGTGTGTAACAGCCTTCAACACAATCGAGTTCTGCAATAAGCTCGAGTTTAGTTTGTGTAAGAAAAAGTAAGCTTTTAAATTGACATAAATGTCGAGCTATCAAATTAAATAGTAATCTAGACTCATAAACTGTAGTAAAATATCGCCAATGGCCCAATTATATGAGAATTTCCAGAAGGTGCGATGTAACTGACACCCATAACTTTCTATTGCTCGGATAAATAATATCGAGAAGTGACTTATAATACCTTAATGAGAAAATTTGCGTTGCTATCTCGCTTGCGTTGAATTATTGGACCAATACTTATCACTTTACATAGAGCGTATTTATTGTATCGATATAGTTTTGCTTAAAGTAAACTGAATCCTTACAATCCAAGAGTGACATAGCTTTTCAATCAATCATACACATGATCAATAATTATACAACGCGATAACTCTTTATGTGGACGAACATATCCTAGTGATCCACCTTATCATTAAGATATAACATCAATTTTTATTTTCTGTATTTGTTGTACACCTTGCGACACATTATTTAGAGCTATTTTTTTCTAAAAATGTAGGACTTGGTATCAAATAATAATAACACAACAACAACAACAAAACAACAATTGATAATATATAAATATTGAAATAATATTAATAATAATAATAATTAATAAATAGATTTCTAATAGTCATATATAAATTTATTTATAAACGATACTAAAGCAAATAGAAGTAAAATACAATGTTAAGTGAATGTGGTAAACATTTCAGCCTATGAGAATAGCATTTACATACTAAATGAAGAACTAGTGGACTCAAATTCATGACCATTGAACTTAAGATCATCTCTCTCTAATTTCCATAGCCTACTACACCTCGCGTGTTGATGATAGTGCTATGATGCGCGAAGACTGCATAATACTCAAGTTTATGCGTTATGGCGTCAGTTTGGCTGGTCCCACTATATTAACATTTTTACAATATTGCTATATACTCCAGATATGTTCTTAATAGATTTATATCACTCTTCCTTATATAATCGTTTATCTACTTGAAAATTATCAGACCTACTTTTATATGAAAATATTTTTTATTATTATAAGTCTTATTTATAAATAATGGATAAATATATTTAAATATCTATATATCATAAATATATTTTTCCATCAGTTGTTAGTGTGTTTTAGTTGTTTCTTGATTTTATTATTTAATAAAAAAGTCCATATTTATAAAATGTGACACTAACTTATAATATAGAAGGAGAGCTTGCTTGTGTACGTGCGCACA